TTTTTTATCTCTGTAGTATTGATCTAGAGTAGCGATGGTGCCCGACTGGAAGCCCAGGGCATGAGCAGCTGCTATGTAAAAAGGGATATTTTTAATAGTGATTTTTCTTTGCTCTCTTCAGTCACAAATTTCTGCGTAAAGGAGAATAAAGTGAGAGGTCACATTTCAGATCAGAATATTACTGTTGCTGCCAGCTTATTCCAGGCATCAATAGCATTCATGTCTAGTTACAGAAATTAATACCATTGATGGGCTATTAGGAAGAATTTAATTCTGTTGATGTTCATGTGACTGGGTCTTTTTCCTATTGATTTTAATTAACTAAACTTTCTTAGCAAAATTAACATCATGTTTGTCTAATAAACAAGATTTTGTAAGCCATTCTTCACTTAATTGCTAAGAAACCACAGGAGCCCAAAGACTGTGATCACTGTAGTAGCAGCAACTACTATAGTCATTAATACCATTCACAACAGCTGCTCGGGCACTTTAGCTTCAAATTGTCATATGTTGTACAGACCTGACAGTGGGGGTTGACAGATTGTGGATATCTGACAAGCAGACTGCCGCCTGTCATTTGTCCAGATTGCTTTCACACACACCCCTCCCCCCAGTAATGGCCACCCCCCCACCATGTATCCTGTGCTCTGCTTGCCCATCTGTGGGCCCAGGACTGGCATAGTAGGTGCTGCTGGGTAGAGGGTTGGGAGCTGAGCGGACTTGCATCCGCTCTCCTCCCCTTCTTGTTGCTGTCCCAGAGGCAACATGCATCATGTAATTTCTGGGTCCACCTGTTAGTATACCCAGCTAGCATGGCTGGGAAAAAATGTAAAGCAGTACAATCTGCATTGCATTACATTCAGTGGAGCACAGGGGAGAACCCTCGGGTCTTTTAGACCCCGGATGTCTCATTAAAGAGAATCTGTTACCAAAAAATGTGTTTTTGTTTCCAATGTGATGAAAAAAAAAAAGGTTAAAGTGTTACTAAACCCAGGACCTTGTATTCACTATATCTAGCCTCCCACAGTACACAGAACATGGAATGCAATTATTTTATCAAATATAAACTGCTAAATACCTTTTAGTTTTCATTCTCTTCTGACTGTCCTATGAGGCTGCATAACCCCTGACCCTCTGTCTGGACAGACTTGATTGGCTCTGTGCTGATCGCATGCACCCTCCCAAGAAAAAAAAAAACTCTCTAGCAATACACACCAAACTGAGCACGTGCAGCTTGCGCCCAAAGCTCTGGGGGGAGGGGTGTGTAAAAGCAATCTGGCGCTGCTGGAGGGGCTGGACTGCTTTCAAATGAGCAGATGGATTGGGCACAGTAGAAGGGGAGGATCAGAGAAGACAGGATAAAACAGCCTTTTAATAAGCATACTTTACTGCATATACAGACTGATTTTTCTGTTGTGGGTTTAGTAACACTTTACATAAAGAAATTTTTTTTTTATTCAAAAAAAATTAAAGTTGCACCCAAGCACATAAAATCCCCCTTTCAAAAAAAAATATTTTTGAGCCTCCCCCACCCCCCCCACACACATATATATATATACAGTATGAACATTGCGATTTTACATGTTGCATATCACCATGCACACCAGAGTGAGAGTAATATTTCTAGCACCAGATGCTAAACTGATGACCTACAGGGGCTTTCAAAGCATCGCCAATGGAAAATATAGGGTACTGAAGTTTGTTGCAATTTCATGGGTGGGCAGAAATTGAAGGTTTGTCGGGTATTTATTTTCTTAGTGCTACCATCTTTTAGATTTTACCAAAAGAGTGGGTAACTTTTTTTTGCACTTGTTTTAATTTTTCGTTTCCTAGACCTTTGTGGTAATATTGTGTAACTTAAAAAATGTAAACTACCACTATTTTATTCTCTAGGGTGTCTGCTTTCAGAAATATATAGGTGTTTATTTACTAAAGCTGGAGAGTGCAAAATCATGCTAATTTTTGCATAGAAATCAATCAGCTTCCAGGTTTTATTGCCAAAGATTAATTGTACAAGCTGAAGTTGGTAGCTGATTGGTTTCTGAACAGAAGTGAGCCTGATTTTGCACTCTTCACCTTTGGTAACTAAACCCCATAATGTTATGGGGGTTTATGAAATCTTCAGGCATAAAATTTTTTAAACGTGTGCAAAAAATGCAGAAACAGCTCTGGCAACGAAATGATTATATGATAAGTGCACTTTAAAACAAAACAAAAAAAAAAAAAATAAATATACATTTTTTTTTCAGGTAAAAATATGTGCATTTATATTTTTTTTTTTCTACCGAGCCTGCAGAGCATTGCACCTGTCATCCGCAAATAGTGGGTGCAATCTCAGGATAGCTGTCTGCCTGTACCATTTACAGGCAGGCAGTTACTTAAGAGCTAGCCGGGTATACTTATGAGCTACCAGAGTGCTTTTCAGCGCCCCCATAGTGCATTGAGCACTACAAGCCATCAACTACAACCAGGGTCGGTGCTAGACTATTTTTCGCCCTAGGCAAGACCAGCTACTTGTGTGACCCCCCCCCCAAAAAAAAAAAAAACAAATTATGAAAAACAGTACAACATATTAAATCAACACAACATGAACCTGCTGCATTTCTTTTAATTTGCAAAAATAAGTTCCATATGCTACTAGCACCAATACTAAAGACAAATTATATATTAACTAAATATAAATTAACTGTATTAACCACGCAGAGTAACAAAAAAAAAAAAAGACAGAGTTACAAAACTCCACAGTGATCAGCAGTCGCCAGCCGGCTTGTAGTAAGAGTCTGAGAGGAACACTGGAAGGAATGGCAGCTCAGCTGCTTCACTGGCCCCAGACACCAAATGGTTGTATGGACAGGCTGTGAGACAATTGTGCAGAGTAAAGATAGCATCATTCCCTGTGTATGAGGAGAGGAGGGCTCAGAGAAATGAAGAATTCATACAAGAGGGCCATAGGCCACAGAGATAGAGAGCGGGCATGTGCTGCACCCAGGCACCCTTAGGTGGCAGTGCACCCTAGGCGGCTGCCTTGTTTGCCTAGTGGAAGCATCGGCCCTGACTACAACATACTTGTAGACAGGAAACTGTGAAAGAATGATGCGGCCGTGAGGACAGAGCCCTGCATGACCATATTATTTTCATATTGTGACAGTGGGTGCGGGGAGAAGATCCCCCGCCCGCTGTCACATGGATTGGGAATGGGGAGGGGGGAAAGGCTGCAGATACTAGGACATGTCCCCTATTAATGGGTGGAACATGTAACATGTTCCAAAAGGTGAATGTATCCTTTAAAAAAGGAAATGTATGCAGCTATCACATTTCAAGAATTGATGAGCTGCAATATTATAAATGTTTACTTTTGGGTTTAGTACCACTTTAAAGTGGTGGTAAACCTTTAGTGACGCGATGACGTCACTCCCAGCATATGCATGGGAGTCACATCGCCGTGGCACAGATCAGGGCCTTAAACGTTCACTGTTAATACATGGCTCAGTGTACATGACAGCTGACAAGCAGGAGGATGCATTAATGGCAGAAGAGACTAGTAGGGTCTCTTCTGTCATAAATGCCCTGCATGTCAGCAACTTTTAAATGATTGACATTACTTCCACCACTTGCCCTCCAGAGGATTTACCCCCTTCCTGACCAGGCCATTTTTTGCGATACAGCGCTGCATTACTTTAACTGACAATTGCGCAGTCATGCAATGCTGCACCCAAAATGTACCTTTCTTTCTGTGGTATTTGATTGCCTCTGCATTTTTTTTTTTGCGCTATAAACAAAAAAGACCGACAATTTTAAGAATAAAAAAATATTTTTGACTTTTTGCTATGAAACCTATCCAGTACAAAAATTTTAAAGATAAAATTTTGTCATAAATTTAGGCCAAAATGTATTCTGCTACATGTCTTTGCTAAAAACAAAAATCCCAATACGTGTAAATTAATTGGTTTACGTGAAAGTTATTATAGCGTCTACAAATAGCGCAACGTAGCAGGACTGCGGTGGATATTCTGACACTGGGGGGGAACTGACTGCCACTGACATCCCCAGTGACACTAATACAGTGATCAGTGTTAATAAAAAGCACTGACACCTAGGACAATCAAAGGGTTAACTGTGTGCTGTTTTGCTGTGTGTGTATTTATACACTGATTTATAGGGCTCTGCTATGCAGAGCAATACAAGGCAGCATGCTGGAGCTGACAAAGGAAATATCTGTATTGTTTATATACAGACCTCTCCCCTGCCAGTGATACTCGGCAATCGCCGGGTGCCGGCAGGGAATCTCCGGCTGGGACCTGGTGATCACTAGCTTAAGCCGCCAATGGCTTAAGCTACACCCCCTATCCAGAAATGCGAAATCCCGTATTTATGTGCTTTTGCATAACCCTGATTTCCTGTAGCAGTATTATAGGGCGGCAGGCAAGCAGTTAAACACCACTGCATGTTAGCCTGTGTCCATGCACACATAGGTGCTTTGAGGAGTTCAGAGGCAGGGACATTTAGAAGCAGAAGGGTCAAGGAGCAGCGCTGTATTTGCAGGCAAAACGCTTGAAGTGTGTAAACGCATTTAAATGCATGTTAAAACTAATCACATTTAGCGCTTGAGCATTATTTCATTTCATTGGCCAGAATAAATTATTTGGGCCAATTAAATGAATGAACGTCTAAACGCTGTATGCGCCTAGATGCTTCACACAGTAAAAGCATCAAGCTTTTTTTTTTTTTTTTTTTCTACCAAAACACCACTGCCAGGAGGAGAGTCATCCAGGAGAGATGGCCAAGAATCCAGTGTGCATGAAGCCTAAGACTCTATCTCAGGCAAAGCCTTTTTTACTGGGATGGAATATGCTGAAGGGTTGGCTGACTGGCAACATAGACAACAGCTCTTCAAGACTGGCAAATAGACTGCAGGAGCGGCTCTGGTGACTACAAACATGAAGTAGAGAGTGGTACCCCTTTCCTGTCCCAGGAACCTTTTTTCTATGCTCTCTCTCTCCTAAAGTGAAACTAAACCCAGGACCCTGCATTCACTATATCTGGTCTCCCTGGACCCTGCATTCACTATATCTGGTCTCCCTGGACCCTGCATTCACTATATCTGCTCTGACCCTGTCATCCACCCTGGACCCTGCATTCACTATATATCTGCTCTCCCAGGACCTACATTCACTATATCTGCTCTCCCCGACCCTGCATTCACTATATCTGGTCTCCCCGGACCCTGCATTCACTATATCTGGTCTCCCTGGACCCTGCATTCACCTGGTCTCCCTGGACCCTGCATTCACTATATCTGGTCTCCCGGACCCTGCATTCACTATATCTGGTCTCCTGGACCCTGCATTCACTATATCTGGTCTCCCCGGAGCCTGCATTCACTATATCCGCTCTCCCGGACCCTGCATTCACTATATCTGGTCTCTCCCCGGAGCCTGCATTCCTATATCTGGTCTCCCCGGACCCTGCATTCACTATATCTGGTCTCCCCGGACCCTGCATTCACTATATCTGGTCTCCCGGACCCTGCATTCACTATATCTGGTCTCCCTGGACCCTGCATTCACTATCTGGTCTCTCCGGACCCTGCATTCACTATATCTGGTCTCTCCGGACCCTGCATTCACTATATCTGATCTCCCCGGACCTTGCATTCACTATATCTGCTCTCCCCGGACCCTGCATTCACTATATCCGCTCTCCCCGGACTCTGCATTCACTATATCTGGTCTCCCACAATACACACAACATGGAAATGCAATTACTTTAGTAAATATAAACTGCTGCTAAATACCTTTTCTCATCAGCAGTTAGAGCAGTCATGTGACTTCTAACAGTGCTCAGCACAGCACTAGTTAATGCTTGCAGGAGGAGTTTTCTTTCTGCTCTTGGAGGATGCAGGACCCATGACCTCTGTCTGGACAGTGCTGATTGGACCTCTGCTGATCACATGCACTCTCCCAAGAAAAAAAAAAAAACCTCTCTAACAATACACACCAAATGAGCATGTGCAGAGTGATTCTACACAATATGTCTTATCAGGAGATGAGAGGGGGACACTGGAAGGAGAGGATCAGAGAAGACAGGATCAAACAGTGTTTTTATATAATGCGGAGGATTAACCCCTTAGGTTCCACAGTGTATAACACGCATGCTTTACTGCATATACAGACTGATTTTACTTTTGTGGGTTTAATAACACTTTAACACTTCGGAAATATGTGCTAAGCGCAGAAGGCACTGTTAATTATTAACACTGCCCACATTTATTAAGGTCACCAATGGTAGTCAGGAGTTGCAGCATCCAATCAGACAGCTATTTCCCCTAAGACACCTATGGAGTCTGCAGAGGAATAAAGGTGTCCGTTTATGACACAGAGAATAGCTGCGATTCAACGGATCTCAGCTATTCTCTGGTCATTCACAGTTTATGACACTCAGGAGATCATGTCAGCCCTTCACTGGAGATCTGTGTTCTCCCTCCAGATTCTCCAGCCCAGAGCTGGAGAATCAGAGGGACCGCAAACTAAGCAGAGATAATTTACCTCTGTTTAGTAAACTGATCTTTTACTGTAATCTCGCAAGATTATAGTAAAATCAGCCGTTTTCCAGAGTTTGTAGACCGACCATTCTCCAGCGTTTGGAGACCGTTCCCTTCGCTCGGAGAACTGCTTCATAAACTGCATTCACAGGAGAACTGTGTTCTCCGAGAATGCCGGAGAACTGAGCAGCGATCTATTACCGCTGGTTCATAAACGGACACCAAAGTTCCTCTGAGCCTACACTCCATCAGCACAGTGCCACATACAGGTTGGATAACAAACTGCACCTGCCTACCTTTGGACTGATGATAATAGAGGTGTGTGTAGGGGAGGAGACATTCTCAGTTCTGATCTTTTCAACAAGGGAGATTTTTTGTTTTTTGTTAAGCTGCAAATATATATATAAAAAAAACCAGATCAGTAGATCCAAATCCAGCAAATCAAGTGATTATACTGATGAACTACTAGAGTAGCTCTTCTATTTTTAACTCCTCTCTAATAAGAATCATTATACAGTTGTTTCAGTAATAACATGTTTACAATGTCTGTTATTATACAAATGGCGCCTGGACTCAATTATGCTATATAGATATTCCACCGGGTATATAAATATCTTTATCTCATGCCGCCATTTCATATAATTGCTCACTACACTGTAATGTATTATAAGAAATGTAATTAATGTCATAGTACAGCTCTACCTTTTCATTTGAATCCCTAAATCAAGACTGATTAGGCACCTTGACTCTTTTGTTTATGAAACATGTACTAATAATCTGGGGCATTCTATGATAATTTACAGGTATATATCTTCATAGCTCCGCCGCTTTCTGTGGGTAAGCAGCTTTTTTTTTTTTTTTTTTTTTTTTTTTTTTTCTTAGAATAGATTGTATTTTCAAATAGCTTCTAATATATAAATTGTACAGTCATTAACAGTAACGCTTTAAATAACGAACCCTCTAATAAAGAATGTAGCTAGTGCCACCTAATAAAAATGTAGTAGTGTGTGAAATTAATTCCCAGGAAAGCATGCGGAAAATTAGAAGTAGGGCTACAATCAGATTTTTCCAGCTTTGTTTGACAAAACCGCATGAAGAGAATTATTTTATATTTACACAGCACTAGCTTGCATTGTCCTTTTTTTTGTTAGCAGCCAGTGATGAATACAAAAGAGTTTTATTAGAAGTCATTATTTGCTTTCTGTACAATTCCTCACAGTATGTACTCCTGAAAGAAGTACTTTCTATGCTGCCCAGTGCATCCAACCACGCTCTCCTTTAGTTCAGCATGGTAACTCTCCCTTAGTTATAGTAACCACTTGAGCTCTGTAAGGTTTTATCTCCTTCATCACCAGGGCATTTTTTTGCTATTCAGCACGATGCTACTTTAACTGGTAATTGTTCGGTCATGAATCGCTGTAACCAAACATTTTTTTCACACAAATAGAGCTTTCTTTTGGTGGTATTTGATCACTACTGGGTTTTATTTTTTATTAAATAAACAAAAAAAACATTTTTAAAAAAAAAAAACACCCAATATTTTTTACATTCTGCTATAAAACATTTCCATTAAAAAATGAAAAGAAATAAAATAAATGTTCTTCATAAAGTTAGACCAAAATGTATTCTGCTACATCTTTGGTTAAAAAAAAAAAAATCTCAGTAAGTGTTGGGCTTTTGCTGGACAGCTTGGTCTGTTCAATGAAGTTGAAAAATAACAGACTTACTGTCCAGATCACCAAGTGAAAATGAACGAAGAAAAGATTTAAATTCACCGACCGCATCTAAAAATTTGTGAGCTGCAATTTGATACAGGTTTGTTTTTGTGTTTAATAACGCTTAATCACAGATAAAATGCATCAGCAACCTGTTGTAGAAATGGATGTTTGATAAGGCTGATGATGTTAACAATAAAGATCTATTGAGAATGGCATGCGGTCTCAAGCGTCACCATTTAATCTTATGCAAAGCTATTTTTTAGTTTCAGATAGAGAGATGATTGCTTAGAATATTTGCTAGTAGTGATGGGCCGAACACCCCCGTTCAGTTCGCATTCGAACATAACGAAAGTTCTACCGCAAACTTCAAACAGAGGGGGCAATTCACTAAGCGGTGTCTTATCTCAGTATGTGGTAAGATGCCGCACAGCTACGGAAAACATTCTTTGTTTCAGCTGTCAGTGCGGTTAAAAAAGAAAACACGTGCTTCCCCCATCCGTACAAAGCCCTTCCAGTCTGGTATGGATTTTGAGGGGAACCCCCCATGCCAAAATTAGAAAAGAAAATGATGTGGAGGTCTTCCCCAAAATCCATACCAGACCCTTATCCGAGTATGCAGCCCCGCTGGTCAGGAAAGGAGGCGAGTGCCCCCTGAACCATACCAGACCACATGTCCTCAACATCGGGGGTGCTTTGGGGCAGGGGGACAAGGACCTTTTCCCTACAACCATGGCTGGTGGTTGTGGGAGTCTGTGGGCATCAGAATCTGGAAGTCCCCTATAACAAGGGGGCCACCAGATCCTAGCCCCCCCATGTGAATGAGTATGGGGTACATAGTACTGCTACAAATTCACAAAATTAGTGTAAAAAATTACAGTAGACTTTGACAAGTCCTTTATTAAAACTAAAATTTAAAAAATGTCCCCCAAAGTAGCTCCAACGTTAATCAAAATGCCCGCCACCACGACCCGAAAAAGAGAAAAACCCCGTGGTCAGGTGTCTTGCTTTGGTAAAACACAATGCACTGTCAGGGAGCAGTGCATTGTGGGGAGTGGTGGGCGAATACCATTCGTGTGAGCACACAGGGGGGCCTGGGCAGCAGGGAGAAATATATTGGGTACAGGGTGGGTGATGGGGTGCGGTGGAGGGGCAATTACTGGAACATATACCCTGTATGGCTCTCTCTGCAGCAGTTGAAAGCCCATGAGAGGGAGAGGAGAAGAAGCCAGCTTTCAGCTGCTGTAGGGATGGCCATACAGGGAATCAGTTCCAGTAATGCCCCCCCCCCCCCCACTGTGTTGTTCACCCTCCTTGCCTACATCTGATTCACCCAGATGCCTTGGCCCTATTGCTGGCCAGGGCCCCGTACAGGAGAACTGGTGGTACACCCTTATCCACAGCACTGGGTGTTACCAAGGTCACCAGAACTGGTGTCCCCATTGGAAGATTTCCCCTTTATTACTGTTCTGGGGACAACCCAGAATTTGGGATTTTCTTTCACTTTCACTCTCAGTGATAATGGTAAACAGGACAAATAGAGAGGGTGAATCTTCCTAATGGGGGCACAGAGAGCAATACCAAACTTGACAGGCATTCTAATCCTTCTCCACTTCAAAACTGAAATAAGCAATTTGTATGTAGTTATACTTCAAAGGAAATCTCCCTAGTGGGTTACAGATGGAAATAAACCCAGTAGGCATTTTAATCATTCCCTGTCCCACCAATCCCCCAAAACATTCTTTAGATATACATTGAGTTGTAGATTTTTATACCCATTGGATGACAGCCTTCAATTATTTTTCCAGACCTGATTAAGTATTGTAACTACAGTAAATATAGTAATATTGTAAGTTGATTCACTTATGTGAAAAATGTTGTTTAATGCACTTTTCTTTCCCTGTCGTCTTTCTTTCTTCAATGCCGCTAACAAGTTTTTTTGGAAATGACAGCACGCCTGAGCTGGTCTGTTACGTTTTGTTCTAAAAGTCACCATTTTTACAATTGTACATCATCCATGCATGGGATATTCCATAATTTTCTAAGTTATGAGACCTGAACATTTTTTGCTCAATTCATGGCTATATAAATATATAAGCTTTTTATGTGCCCGTGGCAATGAATGGATCATAAAAAGAGCAAAGAAAAAAATTACATACCATTTGTAAGTTAAAATTATACCTACAAAAATGAGCTTTTATTTGTAATTTAATGACCTTACGCAGCCAAGACTGGTGACTGTAGGAGAATAAAATGTAACACTATTCAAATTACTTTCCAATGTTGGAAAGTCTTCCATTGCTGGAAAATATCGTTGCTCTATCCCATTATTTAAATAAAAAATATAGTTCCAAAACTTGGGCAACTGTGTTCACTGACCTTTATATGTGATAAGGGCTGCTTTAAAGGTGCTCAAATGTCGGACTCAACCTGGGGTCAGGTTTAAGGAGTTTAATAATCAGCACTCAAGGAAGACAAACCAAGGTTTTCTTTTCCTTTTTTTGCGAGTTTGCGGTGCTGATCGCAACCCCACCACCACCACCACCACAGACAACCAAAAAAAGTGCATGT